TATACGAATATTAAATTCAAAAAGTATATTAAATGTTAATTATTGGTGCTATATTACCGTATGGCCTCGGCATGGAATGAGTCAACCCTTTCTTTCCTGTGGGTGTAGTAAGAGGTGGCTAAGGGAACATAATGGTAGAGAGATGGGCAGCAGGGTCCCTTTTGAAACGTCATCAAAGCCTAACTGCAGTGGCTAAACTTCTAACTACTGGTAAAGCCCTCCAAGGGGGAGGCCTCTCTTCAGCAGTTAACATTTGATGGCTGATATGATTATGATGATCTGTACTAAATAAAAAAAAACCTATTTAGTTTTTTAATTTCTCCTATACCTTTTACATGACCTCTTGTAGGAGTATAATTTGTATTTATTTATTTATATCCTTATGCACTATAATTGATCGTTTATTGTACTTTAAAGTGTTTTTCTTTTTAATATTACTCCTTAACTGTGGTACAATAAATAGTAAGTAAATTATATATTTTTTTAATAGTGTTCCAATTCATATAAATATAGGAATTTAGTCCTTGATGTGTAAATAAAATACTTAGCATAGATTGCACCTACTAATAAACTAAGGAATGAATTAATGAAAAAAAAACAATAGAATATCGAAGTATCAAATAAGCTATTATTAGAATGAAAATGTTATTATTAAAATAATATAAATTAAATTGAAACAGAAAATAGCGCTCAAGTCAGAAATTTACATGTAAGCGAGGCATACCCCTTAAGAGTCATAGATATGTTGCGATTTCTACGGATACAGCTTCCATTTAGCGTTTCACTACAAATCAGCTGGATTTATTGTGCTATTTTTTCTTTAAGTTTTATATTTTAATTTATTTGACCTTTGTAGAGTCTATCGAATAACAAGAATTAAAGAGAACGTATTCTGTAAGTTAATTCTAGGCAGTATAGATACTGTCTTTCGCTTTTACTTTTTGTATATACTGTATAGTGTCTGTCTATAGTTAATAATATACAATTAGTACACATATTATATATGTCTATATCAATAAAAATCAATCGTTGAAATACATACTATATTTAAGTGCTCCACTTTAGAATGGCAGCATCTATTTGGCTGATTTTTTTTTTTGTTGTGTTTGTAATTATTGAGAGTATGGTTTGTATGGAAGGATGTGTCTAAAAAATAATATTTAAAAGTGAAAAATTGGAGTTTAAAATATTTCCAACTTGCAATTTTTTCTTTATTAGTATACCCGTGTGAAACTGGGGCGAGCAACTAGTTGTATATGTTTATGATATTGTATATTTATCAAATATTAGTCAAATATGTTTAAATAAATAAACGATTTTAAATAAATATACCACTCAGATAAATATTTTTTTTCCTAATTTAACGCATATGATTTGTTCTCTATCCGAATTAATGTAGACAAAGCTATGGATTAAAGTTAGTAATTAGTAAAAATATATTTACGAATTTAATCTAGCGTAATAGTAAGAACATAAAACATATTTATGGGTATCAAAATAAAACAGATGATACTCTCTTTAATAAAATGGTTTTTTTTTTCTTTTATTTATGTCGGAATAACTTAATGAAATATTTACAAAATCGGGATAATATTGACCTTTTACCAAGAGTGTGATTCATTATGTTCTATTTATTATATTCTATCTCATTAATGTAATATTTTTGTATAGTATTTATCAATATATAAAATACTAACTTAATTATAATTTACAAATTATCTCTCATAATTAAACGGAGCAAATTTAGTAACAGTTTGTAATTAATTAAATAAATAAAGTAATATATTTTATGAGCAAAATTAACATTAATTTTGATTATATAGGTACACATTGATTTATACAAATAACAAAAGTGTTACAAAGCAAACTATGAATTTGTAATTTCATTATATTTCGTAGTTATGTATCAGTTTGTATTTGCTTTTATAAAGATAATAATTTCAGACTTCACTTAATAAATTTATAACATAAAATTAACATTGCATAAATAAGTCAATATTTCAATCATGTTTTTCAATTTTAATACCGCAATTACTAAGCCCGCTAATAAAATTCAGTGTAATTGAAGCAAGCCTGTCTTTAATGGGTAAGTAAAGGAATTTAAACTACAAGACGTGTAGCAAGATATTATGATAACATTTCATTAGTAGTTATTATTCTCGAATATCTCGTTTTCAGGATAATTTGATTAATTTGGATAGCCTGATTAATTCACTGGTTAGGGAAAAAGTTACTGTTCTTCTCTATCGTAAATACTATGGTATATGTATGTAAATTTTCATGACAATCGCTTAATCCGTTAATGGGCCAAAAAGTAATAAAGAAACAAACTCATTTTTATTATAGATTTATATATTTACTTGCTCATTCTTGCTTCTCTGTTTTTTTACAAATTTTCCCTTTTATATTAGTTTTATCTAACTTTCTAGCTTTTTTCAAAACAGTCAATTTTCGAATTAGGATGTAATTTTCCAAAAATGTAAATGTGTATTATTAATTTTATACTAAAAACTCTTATAGATACAGTTTTAATCTGTAACTTAAAAAATACAAATCAACTAACTCACTACAAATTTGTAACACTTAAGGGACGATATTCTAAGACCCCTGAAAGATTCGTCTTTTTGATTTATACCCAGTCATTGGATACGAATATTTAAAATTTCAACTGCAAAATTAGTCTCCCCATACAAACTTTCAACCATCTTTGTTTAAGGTAAAACACTGCAGTGGAAGCGTTTTATAAGGGAAAGATTCTGTCTGTCGAGGAGGACTGGCATCGGCTTCGTGAGTTTTTCTGCTGTAGGTGATCGGCAGTTCTTCCTCAACTTCTATATGCAGGCACACACAAATTCTTACAGGTTCTTAGGGGCACATACAGTTTAAAACACACAAATTACATTTGTTTTACAGGAGCAAGCGTCCGCGCACACGCCTCCATTCAGTCAGTACTTTTTTATTCGTTAAACTAAGGTGGGAGAAAAATAATATAGACGGACTCCAATATTGTAAACAATCTGTGTTTTATTACAAAGGGATTAGGCTTTATTTTTCTAAATCAATTAATCTTTTAAACGCTTTTGCGAATGATTAAAAAATCTTATTATTCCTCTCTTGCAATAAGAATCTATTGTGTTCGTTTTTTATAATTATAATATATTCAGATGAATTATGTTATATTTATTTATACTTAAATTTTATTTATTTATTTCAGAAATTCTTTATGATTTTTGTTAGTAAGTGTACTTAAAAACTACGTTAATACTTAATTATTAATAATTATTGATAATGATGTCCTCTTGGCAAGCATTTTCACAAGAGGACTATTCTATTTATTTACAAACATGTTTAGGATACTTGTGCCACTCCCGCGTATTGTATGTAAGAACAAAGCTGTTTTTTGTTTAATAATAATAAGTTCACTAATAGACACTGTATGATATATTAAAGAGACAATACTCGTATTACAATATTTACACGAACATAGTGCGATGCCTGATAGGTATAAGTTTTATATTAGAATTTACTTTAGATAATTATCAAAAGTCTAAAAACATCAAAATAACTCCTATGTATTTCGAAAATACATAGCTCTACTTTTTACAATGCAATTCTATTGCATTAATAGAATTGCATTGTAAAAAGTAGAGCAGTGACAAGAATAGAAAGAAATATAGATATATCCATTACAAACACAAAGAAAGAAGTTTCAATATTGAATATACCACATGAGGTACTCATTTTGAAGAAAGTTTCCGGATGAAACCAATGATTTCTTTACTAATATAATAAAATGAAAAAATGAAATTATTTATTTCGTTTATTGATTTGTTGCCTGTTAGCGAATTGACACGAAATTGAGGACAGATGTAGTAATTGGAACACAGAAGGGCATAAGCATATTTTATACCTATCAATGGACACATATCAATCACGTAACGTGGCGGCTAAAAACTATTACATAAATAAATAAACAGGCCATTTCCATGCAGTGCAACATCCAGGCTGCATATCAATCACGCTACAAACGGGCCGACGATTATGCAGCCGCGTGCAGTGGCATATCGACTATTAGCATGCCCAGTAAATCTACTAGCTATTGGGTGGGCCGACAAATCATTGTCACCTTTTAAATTTGCATTCATTACCATGCATTACGACGCTCATTACCTACTTGCATTACGTAGACATCTGACATTTAGGCGTAAAGATACGACCATTTTGATCAACCGCAACTTATAATTATTGCAAATATGAATTGTTTCCGATTTCTATAATGAATCACCTAAACGGACCTTCATATAAAATTTCTTTTAAATACGCTGAAGATTCGTAACAAGACGTGAATTCGTAACGCTTAATTTTGTGTTACCATACCTAAATAAAAAGAACACTTAAATAAATTGAAAGTAGATATCCATTTATTTCTAGTGAGATAGCTAATACAGAGTAATGATACCAATAGAGAAATAGTAATTATTCATTGCTGTGAAATTATTCCTTCATTACCGTATCATTATTCTCCCGAGATGTCTACTTAAGCCTGTTTTGCACGATTGGTGTCGCTTCATTGCGTATTCTCTGTGCACCCTATTCGTTTGATGCTTGTTGGCTCACCTTATTGTCTTGGGTAAACACGCGCATTGTATTTTTTTATTATAATAAACACTTTACAGGTTTGGATACTAGCTATTTTGATCTTGTATTTCATTGGCTATTATATTAATTAAATCTAGAGTTATTATTTGAATATTTGCATCAGTTACATTATATTAATAAGTATGTTAAGTCTTTGGAGAGGCATTGGTTTAAATACAGTTTTATCTATATTATATTATTATATAGATATCACCTTGAAACATATATTTGTAGTTGCCACCTACTACTGCTCTAAGTTACATTAAATTATATGTAATTATATATAATAAAATGTAAAGAAAACATCTTAAAGTCTATATTGAATTTTCTATTATTAATGTAACGAAGTTAGTCAAACTCACCTGACCATATTGAATAAAGCAAACAATATGAAAACTATAGTCGTCGATATTTTTTTCTGCATTCTGTACTTTTTCCACGCTGATGTATGCATCTTTCTCATGTTGGCAACACTAGTACCTTTTTTCGCGAGCACATCGTATTAGGTTGGCACTTGAGTTGTAACCGCGAAAACTAATCAAATTTATATTTGTCCGCTCACTTCATTCTAATCGGTATTTGTTTTAATTCTAATCTCGATACAAATTCGATCGATATCACTGGACAAAAGCTCGTTACAATCTATAAAATATCACACGCATCTCACATTGTTGTTTTTCTAAATGGAATCGTCTCGCACATGGTTCGTACCACTTTTTTCGCATTTTTCTCGAATAACAACTTGTTTGTTTACGTTTATGTGTCCGTCGGCGTCGTGCCGTCGGTTTGTCTACCTTGGGACGCGTACGTTGCGCGCGGTGCGTTCATGAGCCGCGTAGGTTGAGGCGTATTCCTCGCGCCGCCCAGACGCCGACAAAAAAAGCTGGGGGCGTGCGATCGTGATTCAGTGTGGCCACACCTACTTCTCATTACCGTGCGTTTTACGCGATCATTACCAATATTTCGGCACAGCACTAGTGGGCAATAGCCGTGTGCTCAGAAAGAGGTCTCGTTTGACAGTGGCCTCGTGGACGCAAACCCTGCCTATATAAAACGCCGCCCCACGCATGTTCCCGCCGATGGAAATGTTATCCCGTTGTCATTGGTTTGTTTACGAGTTAGATGACGGTTGGTAGTATCAATTGTGCATGAAATTATTTCACGATGGTCGCAGACATAACTGTCATCACTGACGGAATGGTTACATTAACTGTTTATTTGTATTGAAAACTACATTGAAAGCTACAGTTGCGCTGTTAAGATATACAACATTATATTAGGTATTTTGTTTTTTATATTGATATCGTTAACATAAATATACAAACAAATTAATTTTGAAACTAAAAATAATTCTTGCCGTTTATATCTTTAAGAATTTTAAAGAATTTATCTCAGTTTCACCACGACTTACTTTAAAATCCTAATACTTATAGTTCCGTGTAGGTATTTATATTAAAAAAAATATATTAATATCACTAAATAATAATGTTAAGAAAGCTTAAAATAACAATGATAAATTGCTCGATAATCGAGAGGGAGTAGGTACTAACCGCTTGTCCATACAATACACTAGCCCCTAACTTAAGGGGTGATAACAACCCTTCATTAGGGGTGATTTGGTCGCGTGTCTCACTACAATTATAACTCTAAACGACTTCAAATCTATTGTGATTCTTAAAACTATATAGATAAGATTAATTTTCACTTATTTCGTTGTTTAAAATAAATCCAATAATGTCATATCACAGAGATGTCCCTCGCTGTATTTTTTAACGCTGCATTTTTATAGAACCATTTTCTAAATTTTTTTTTTTTACTACAAACCAAGGGCAGTATTTTAACTAAGTACCTATTGGTGAAATTGAGCTCTCAATTTCTAGTTGACAGGGGGTTGTTTTGTTAAAAAGGGTTAAGTTGCATAACATAATTACAATGGAAATCTGGATGTTTGACATCTATTTTATACCAGCGCCCTTCACTTATAACTTAATTTTAAGAAAAAAAAATAAGCAATCCTTACTTAATATTATAATTATGAAAGTGAGTTTGTTTGTTTGTTTGTTACTTTATAGGGCCTATATCTCTTATGAAATTTGATATACACGTAATTTATGACTAGTTTTTATCCCGGTCATTAAACATATCCCGGTCACACAGATGAAGTCGCGGGTAAAAGCTAGTAAAAATAAATTGTGAAATCTTGTAGTTACATTAATATAATAATTATTTGTTATATAATAATTATTATTATTATTAATTTAATAATTATTATTACGAGAAATACTAGCTTTCAAACATAAAAACACTTAAATTAGTTGATTGGTTTTTATAGTTACATATGTAAGAGTTATTATAATATATGTCATTTTATTTTTCTATTATAATGTACATATTTCATTTTACCATCATCATATCAGCCGTCGACTGTCACTGTTCTATATAGGTCTCCCTCATAAGAAAGATTTTACTAGTAGATTTAGTGACGTTTTAAGAGTGACGCTACTGTCCATTCCTCGACCATTACCTTTCGTTATTCCTCTTACGAGACCAACGGGCCTCTGTACCCAGTAAATTCACACCATATCCTACCCTTCAAACTGAAACACAGCCATGCAAACACAACTGCTTCACGGTTGAGACACGAATGGGACAGAGGTACCCAAGCAATCGACTTTTGTACAAAGTCTCGATCTGGTCTGATCTTCAATAACAAATACACACATAAGATATTCATGTATACATATGCTTGTAGCTGTGCAAGTATGTATTAAATATCAACCACCTGATACATAGTCGGTTATGCGCGGTCAGGACGTATGCAAATGTAGAGATCGCTTTGATCTCGCTGACACTCGACCCAGACACTTGAGACCGCTTTCGTGTTACCCTGGCTTCAGTTAGTATATACCATTATACTATCATATTTTGACTATTGATTTTGTAGGCACTTTGAATTAATTATTGTTTAAAGCTCACTTACCTATTAATATTAAAAAGGCGAAAATTTATAAAGATATTTTTTTTAATGGGTGAAAATGGTATTGTAACCCCGCCTGCGCTAACGGGATACGCTGGCGGAGCACCAGTGAAGGGTGATAGATGAGAATGAAAACAGGCCAGTGTAACCATGATAGTTTCCAAGGAGAACCGCGAGGAGGTCGACCTGATTGGGTATATTGCTAGCAATGGGTTTCTCAATCTCCATTACTAACAATCCCTTTCCCCCCTTATAAAGATATTTGATGCGTGATTGTATAATAATCATTTTATTTTTTGTATACTTAAAAACAGCTGAATGGATTTTAATAGAATTTTGTGGATGGGCAGATTATATCCTAGTTAATATACTGATTCACATGGGCAAAGCTACAGGAAACAACTAGTAAGATAATATGTGTGGAGTTCAAAATTAAATGACCGTAAGATTCAAAGAACGTTATAACCTAGTAGTAACATAAAGTACTTCTTTATGTTACTACTTCGACATACACACTCTAAAAGTGATATATTTATCTGAAAACAAATATTTGTATGTCAATTTTAATCTGCAATTAACTTTTCGATAATGAGGAATACCTTTAACAAACCAAAGTAATTCGTGACTTCGCTTCTGTCACGTTAAATTCTAATATTCTCGCTATTGAAGCGTTTCATTTACAGTAATATATTTTTTTTGATGGGTGAAAATGGTATGGTAGCCCCGCCTGCGCTAATGGGATACGCTGGCGGAGCACCAGTGAAGGATGATAGGTGAGGATGAAACAGGTCAGTTAGCCCATCGTGACGAATTCAACAAGAATTGTTCACGATGGTTTCCAGGGGAAACCACGTGGAGGTCGACCTGGTAGGGCATATTGCTAGCAATGGGGCTGTCAAACTCCATTGCTAACAATCCGTTTTCCCCCTTACAGTAATAGTTGACAAGTTCTTCTGAGTTCTTATTATTATTATTATATTATGTTAATTCACATTCAAGTATCCATTGAATATAAATGGACCACCAATGTTTTATTGCATTATCAATGCTGACTGACAGGTGGCGATTCATATTGTATACTGTATTCAAAATATGAGAGCTCCAATATAATTAATTTTCAAAGCAAAGTGTCCTCCATTCAGTCTTCATAAAAGGCACGGGTGTTTTACAACCTCTTCAAACCATTACATTATGTTATGTCACAATCTAAGATGAAACCATAGACATGAGTTTATATAGATGTCACAATTGAATATACTTTGAAGGTTTATTTTTGGTTTTAAGTAACATCGAAAGATTAATACTTAATTTTTGTATACACATGAAAATGAATAGTATGTAGTTACTACACTAATTTTATCCGTTTTCATTCATCATTTTAAGCGAACCCATTGTCTTGCATCCCTGGGGAATTTTGAACAATCATTTCATATTGTATGCACATTTCCTAAAAAGAAGGTTTTATTGCCCATTTCAATGATTTCAAATTTCTGATATTTGCAGTCGGTCAGGATAAGACGTATTATAGATTAAATAAATAAGTACTCGTAAATAAAAATAATATGTATTTCTGTTGTTGCACACGTCCGTAGGCTATAGTGGCTGTTTACCATTAGACAAGCTGTACGAGCATACTTATATACCACCTTCGTGGTATAAAAAAATATAAATATGCACCTGCGTCATCTATATCTATTTACATCTATGAATAAAACTGTAAAAAAGTTATCAACCAACGTAACGTCGGTAATAGATGGTGCGGTTGACAAAACAGTCATTCACATAAATATAACATAGTCGTAAAACGTCGGTGGTCACGGTGAACTAACGGTCAATATTAAGTTTGTTGTAGTCATTAATTAATGATAATGATAATTGTCGTGGAGATGTAAGATATTCATAAAGTCTTAGATTTAATGATGTTCCGATTTTTTTTTAATACTCATAATATTTTTATACACAAATCTTGTTGCAGTAGATGGGTACTTTGTACTTCATAAAATGTTATTTAAAAAATATGTTCCAGAAACTTCGGGCGCTGGATTTTTCACCTACCTTGTATCTCTACTTTTAGTTTATTACCTATTAGGGAGACCAACGATCTGACAGTTTACCTGATCACTATTTGTATAGCTGTGTTTCGATTTAATGAGTAAGGATTTTATGGGATTTATCGAGGTATGGTAATAAAATTACAAAATACGGAGACATAACATCAAAGTCCTGGGGGAGTAGAAACTGTTAGTAATGGGTACTAGCGGCCCCATTGGTAGCATTGATAGTATATTCTTTATATATTTATCACGATGAGCTAATGGACCTGCTTTCATCCTCACTTATCATACGTTACAGGTGCCCTGCCAGTTTATATTGTTAGTGCAGGCTGAGTTAACATACCATGTATCTATCAATTTACTAAAAAACTTCATAGTCCTTGGAGGAAATAGATTGTTAGTAATGGTCTATTATTAATGCAAATATCAGAAATTATTAATCTCATTGCTAGTAATATACCCAATCTGGTTGACCTCCATGCAGTTTCTCCTGGACACCATTGTGGTTAATTCTTGTCGAATTCATTATGATAAGCCAACTGACCTGTATTACTATCATCTATTACTAGTGCCCTATCTGCGTATTCCGATAGCGCAAGCGGGGTTACTGGTTCGTTTTCACCCATAAAAAAAGCACCATAGATCTCAATAATCGTTACTTATATATTTCGTGATGTCCATGATACTGTATACGTTTACAGGCGACAATTATTACTTGTCATCAGGTAGACTGTCAGCTTATTTGCTATTCCTGATTGCATATAAATGTTTGGGTTAAATTACTTTTATATTACTTATTCCAGTATTTATAAAAATAATAAATAAAGTAAACTTTAATGAGAATTGAAATAACAGGCGGACTTAACGCTATTTTTTAAATTAAAATTCGAATATCGCGGCAATTCTTGTCAGCTCTACAATAGATCATTGTCTATGCCTTTTTAGTAAGGAGGTCGCGACTGATTTATT